TGATCCTTCAAACTGACTTCCACCCCAAAAGTTCTAGTGTGAACGCACTCTAAACAACCTGTGTGACAGGAGACCAATTATCTCAATTGGATTCTGTGCTTAAATAGTATTGCGTATTATCTAACAAATTCAATTAGTTTCCCAGACCTTTTTAATTAGCGTCTCATCTAGGCCAGATAGATGTAATTAAACATAATTAGATCACAGTACACTAGTCTCTGCAGTGTGTATGCGTCTCCTCGCTGAACTGAATGTGTCCGTGCTGCAGTGCTGTGAAGTTCCAGTCTAATTGTCTTTGAGGGGAGGAGAGGTTCCTGCTAGTTATTCTTAGTGGGGAGAATGGCCTAGTTTTGCAGCTCTGCCTGTGTTCTGTACCTGTTTCTCTTCTCTCTGCAGGGTCTCTTTCTTCCGTTCTACTTTCTCTCTTTCAGTCTTTTCTTCTCGCCGCAGTCTCTCTCTCTCTCTCTCTCTCTCTGGTGAGCTTGTAACTTGGCCTTGGCACACCCTGCATTCTATGTCCCTAATAAATCACACTGTCACTGAATACCAGACTGGAGGAGCCACTTGCTACTTTTTATTTTTAAGTGTCTCGAAGCTAAGCTTTTCACCCAGCTATTTATTTCTCATGCCAGTAGAAGGTCAAGGTTGGCTCTGGCGGAGACAGTGAGGAACAGACTTTTGTTCTGATTTGTCCTGAAGCGCTCGGCCGAATGAAGAAGGACATACGTTTGAAGTCCACATATTTAATTTGCATACATTACCAGTCAATTTTTTTTTAAATGTTTTTTTTTCTAATGTTCACCAAAGCTGCATTTATTTGATTAAAATGACAGTAAAAGATGAAATATTACAATTTCGAAGAACTTTTTCAATATATATTCAAATGTATTCCTGTGATGCAGTCTTCAGTGTCACATGATCCTTCAGAAATATAATGATGTAATATGCTGATTTGGTGCTTATCAGTTATTATTGGTACTTAATTATTAATAACGGTTCTTGAAAACAGCTTAATATTTTTGTGAAACATTGAAATTACATTATAACATTGTCACTTTTGGTCAATTTAATGCATCATTGCTAAATAAAAGTATTCATTTATTTATTTATTTTTATTTTACTATACCCACATTTTTTCAAATCACGGTTTCCACAAAAATATTAATCAGCACAACTTTTTTTTACATTGATAATAATAATAATAAACGTTTCTTGAGCAGCAAATCAGCATATTGTATGATTTCTGAAGGGTCATGTGACACTGAAGACTGGAGTAATGATGCTGAAAATTCAGCTTTGCATCACAGGAATGCATTATACTCTATTCAAATAGAAAACAGTTCTTTTAAATTGTAATAATATTTAGCAATACTGTTTTTTACTATATTTTTAACCAAATAAATGCAGCCCTGGTGAGTATGAGACTTTTTTCAACAACATAAAATCAACTTTTGACCAGTTGTGTATTCATAATGAGAATGTTTAGACTAATGTTTCATTTGTGTGCGTGTGGTTTTGTCCTCCAGGAGCTGGACGAGGGGGAGTGTAACGGCCTGTCTTCGGTGCTAGTGCTGCAGGATTACAATGCCGTGAAGGAGGACGAGATCTGCGTGGTGGTTGGTGAGACGGTGCAGATCCTGGCGTCCAATCAGCAGAACATGTGCCTGGTTTACCGACCTGCAAACAGCCAATCACCTGCTGCAGAGGGCTGGGTACCGGGTCACGTGCTATCCTCGACTCGGTAAAGCCACGCCCCCTCAACGCCTCGGAATATAACCACTACTCGCGTTCACCCTTCAGTTTCACCAGCCTACTCTGGGAAAGCTTGCTGACACATGCCACTCAACCTCCTGTTAAGCTACAGAACAGGAAGTCCCGCCCCTTTCCCTTCTGCCGTACAGTTGAGGACTACAGATGCACGCTACGAAAAACGGTGCGACTTCACCTCCCATAGTCGATATGGGCGAAAAAAAGAAAACAATAGAAAAAAGGAAGTTCAAGAAAATATATTATATTGCTAATAATTTAAAAAAAAAATGATTGTGTTGTATAGAGAGGAAACTGAGGTGAATTTGTCAGTGAATTACGTGTGGATGTGTATGGATCTTAACGTCATCCTTTCTCATCAACACGCTCCATTACGCGCAACGGACTGTTTTCTAATGGGGCTCCCCCTTTTCCCCCTGTCTGTCTATGCCAAGTCATTTGCACACTGTGTATATTTTCTTTTACTGAGATTTTTATTTTTGGAAAGGTTTTTTTTTTCCCCAAGTGTCTTATTTTTACAGCTGTTAGGCGTGGCAGATTTATTATTTTCTTTCAGTTCTGTCAAGCAGTTCAGTGTTCTGTACAAAGTATTCTGCACTTTTCCAACAAATAGTATCGCAATGACGGCAAGTTGTGCAATATCACAATCGTCACAATGCTCATAACTGTACTTGTAACTAAAGATTTAAATGTATTATTCTGTATCATTTTAAATTTGTACATAATATTTTTGACATTGCCATAATAGATACACAGCAGAGGAAAACGGTCCCTCTATTCCTGTCAGGCTAAAAAACAACAACTAAAAAACTAAATCCTGGTAGTCAGCACTGCCTCCAAAACCTGACCCTCTGATTTTTACATTTGACATCATCAGATTTAGTATGTAATAAGTTAATCTGAATCATATCAGACCAGATGTTTACTCAAATTAGTCAATTAAAAATGGATGTTGTTGATTTCTGAAGAGTAGTTTCTGCTGTCAGCGTTCAGATCTCAGAAATACGTGTAAATAAACATAATAAAAAAAAACTAATTCTAGCAGGTATTTCACTTGTTAAACTGGAATGTTGTTCATAATAAAGCTGGCAATTTTTCATCTTGGACATAATGTGTTCTGTATCGTTTGTTCATCTGTGCATCTGTCATCTGAACAGTATTGTGTTTTAAATGTGAATATAAAAAGTAAATATTTAAAAACAATATTCATGCAATCAACATCAAGCATATACAAATCATCTCAATGTTACAGTATACTGTATGTACAGTGAGTTCTCCCAATGAGATGCAATTACATGCAGTATGTATGAGTACACATGAACAGTATAACAAAGCATCCAAACCACTAGGTGTCCGTTTAAATCCAAGATGGCTGCCATATTGGCCAGTGCAACCCTGAGTGCAACTACTTTGCACTGTGATGTTACATCCAAACCAAGTCGCTTTAATAATAATCATAATAAGACTATGTTTGTCCGAACCACCAGGCATGATTGTTACCTATACAGTACCTATACACTATAATACAATTGTAGAACAACAGGCCACATATGTAAAAATACTCTCTCAAAAATACATAATTAAAAAGATTGGGGATTATTTATTTTAATAAAAAGAAGCCGTAATATTTCTTTATCCTTTGGGTTAATAATGCATGCATCAGACGGTTAAATTGGCTACAAGACAAAACTATGAAATATTTACTGTTAGTGTTACCTCAACAGAAAACAGAGATGTGTGTCCACTTCTATCCATTGAGGTACTGTGGATATTATAAAATCCAGTAGCCTATTCTTCCAATCTCTGCTATCGGATCTCTCTTCATTGTTAATGAGATTGGTGAAAGTTACAAATGTTGGTAACACTTTATTTTACAGTTATACACATCTTAGCTACTAGGTAACAGCAAATGCGCAAACAAATAACCCTGAACCAAACCCAAAAAAACCTAATTATATAACAAATGTTGTTAATTAATAATAATAATTATTTGTATAATCACACTGTAGCAAAGGCATCCTAAAAAAAAAAAAACATAACCCATGTTTTTATTTTTTCTCTCTTTTTTTTTTAACCATTTAGTAATGCTACAATGGGTTACTTTATTTTAAGGTGGCGTAGTGACATTGTACTTACTCAAGTAAGTACTGAGTAACATTAATTAACTACATGTACTTATTATAGAGTAAAAAAAGACAACAAAAAAAACCAGTCGGCTGCAAACAGATTGAAGTACCGTTTGGTGCCGCTAAAAGCGTAGAAAGACTTCACCTTTAAATGTACCTGTAGTAAATCAAATGACCATGAGGGGGCAGCAACACTTTAATATGATATCTAAAGAGTCAAGATTTAACGGAAGCCATTTATTTCAAATTTTCGGAACGCACTGTAAAATTATTAAATAAAAATGCTCTAAACATTCTGTATCATTTGCTGCAATATTTCCGGGTGTATTGGATACAATTTTAAACACATAAATAATAAAATGTCAAGATTTTATTTTTAAATATGGGAAAAAAGACACCTCTGAGTTATCATGTAAGCTAACTCTCAATCCCTCACTGAGGAATGGTTTTAGCATTTTACTTCCCTCCTGCCTGTCAATTTAGTTGTCATTGAAAAAATAATAATGATGTTAATAATTAATAGTGCCAGACCTTGAAAAGTCAGAACAAAGTCTTGTACACTTCAATAGAAATACTTCCAATTACAACACAAGTTTGTACATGGGAAATTGAACGTACCACAGGTACAACGTGACAGGAATCACCATGTCATTCTGTTGCTCAAGAGTTTTGCACTCATCCAAGTGGCTTCAGAAGCGGACATGAACTGTTGAGCAACAGAACCGCACGCTTGACTAGAATTACTGCTGTAATAGAGAAAGTGCACTGCAACCGAGACAGACACTAAAATTGCTCTTTATCTACATTTGGTCTATTTAGTGTTGTAGTATCATTAATATCGTTAGTCTTCTAAACGTCAGAAACGTTAATATCGTTATCAATATTTCTCGATCATTAGTATCGAGAAATATATTGCCTTGCTAGCTGAAATACATGTTTCTTTCTGTCAGTTATCTTGTTTTATTTCAAGTAACGACTTTTTTTTTTTTCTGGTTTTATTTTTTGTTTTAGTTATCTATAATAACTTCAGGTCTATTACAATGATATATAGGCCTACAGGATAAAAATGGTTATAATTTTCGAAAAAGAAAGAAAGAAGTCAATATGTGGGTGGTTTCGGCAACAGATTTATTTACATAAATTAGCATTTCTGGTTAATTCTGTGATTTGCTTTCAGTCTGGCCTGCAGAATCATTGCCCCCAGGCACCAGTTCATGAACAGAAGATCTTTGTTTCCATCTCTCTCTCCTCTGGCAAAATTACTGATGCTCTTTAAGAGTTTGAAGGGAAAGCAGAGAGTCAGTGCACATAGCGCTCCGTTGGACTTGTTAGATTGTTCGCAAATTCTTATTTAACAGTGCGACCTCACCCAGACGATGCAAACATCTCAGCTGTAAATATCTCTTATGATATTTCAGCTCAGTTGATATTTATTTGGAATGATGACCCACTTCCACCTTCTACCCTAGATGACCTCACACGGTATTTCACAGAAACAGGTTTGTGGGTAGGGGCCCTCGGGCATTTAAGGCAAAATGATTTGAATTAGAAGTCCTCATTTTGATTAGAAAAATAGATTGACGGGAGATGGCTGGTGTCAGGCTCGAGGGATGAACTGTAGGTTGATGGGTTGGGAGGGAATGAGCAGTGTTCGGGTTTTGGGCTGTATCGATGGGGACCCCTCCTCCGTCCGGACCTCATAATGTTGCATCAGCTGTGGGGCAAAAGGGTCAAGGGTTAAATTAATAAGAAAGGGGGATAGCGATAGTTAAATGAAGTATAAATATATAAATGTAAATGTATATATAGTATAGTATAGTAGTATATATAAATGTAGGTGACTGAAGATTAAACATCAACTTCAAATTCGATATTAAGTGAAAAGTTTGGACAGGACAGGTGACAATTTATTTAAAAAAAAAAAAATAGTGCTGTCAAATTGATTAATTACACCTAGTTTTTGTATATATAGATATATATATATTTACACACAAACACACGTGTATACACACATATATATTTACAAACTTTTATGTTAGATGCGATTAATCGTGATTAATCATTTTGACAGAACCCCTAAAAACCTTTTAATCCAAAGGTGTATGCTTAAAATCAGTTTTAGAGACAAATCTCAATTGTGCCAAAATGTAAATTACAAACTTAAATTTAAAAGGATGGGTTGATGCATATATATATATCAAATGAAAGAACAGAACCTATGCTTTTAAACAAAAAAACAAGTTTTATTCTAGCTTTTTTATCAACACTTGAATGTGGGTAGGTTTCATAAAAAAGCAACAATTTGAGCAAAAATCTGAGAAAATCACGTTTTTGTCAGATGGGATTCAGAATGATGATCAAAACATAGATGGAGTAGATCGAGTCCATCAACACCTCTATGCTCACTCAGTCCTACAGCTCGCCTGGGTTGACATTTCATTCAGTAACATTTGAGATATGCCGTTTAATGTTGATGGTCACGTTATTTTACATATACATATGATTTCATATGAGATCGCTTGTTTCTGCATCTTCCCATCTACTGTATAATAGTAAAAAAGAGTTAAGAATCAATATCAATTCATCAAAATGAAGATTGATTAAAATCGATTAATCGATATTTTCAACCCAGCCCTTTAAAGGCAAGTGTTCTTGGTCCAACCGAATATTTTGACTAATGTGTGTGAAAGCATCATACTCACTCTACTCAGAGCAAAGTACATCTCCAGCTCTGCTACCCTCTTCCCCACACAGGCTCGCACACCAACCCCGAACGGAACTGAACTGTAGGGGTGGTGCTGAGAGCGAGACGGGCTGGCCCTCAACCAGCGGTCTGGAACAAAACGCTCCGGATCTGGGAAATTATTCTCATCGTGACTAACGGCGTAATGACAGAGATGGAACTGTGTCTGTGAGGAAAATAGAGAGAAAACACACAAAGACTGGAATTAGGCTATTATGTTGAAATTTAATGAGAGATTAAATATTTTGAGCTGTGTGTGTGTACCTTCTTAGGGAACCAATAATTATCCACAATTACTTCCGAATCCACAGCCAGACGTCCATTACCAGGGACAACAGGATACATTCTATGATTAAAATGCATCATATTGTGAGAAATTAAATGTGTAACTGAGCATCCTGTAAGTGAAGTTTATTTTTTTAACAAGATCGCTGAACATTTCAGTCCAGCCTGAAAAGATTTAGTGACACATTTCAAGGCAGACGGCATTGTAAATCCACCACATGATGCAGACAATAGGGACTTTTATGTAAAAACAGGCCAGCACCAACAGAACTGGACTTGACTGGAACCCACAGCTGAGCTCAGATGGTCGACCGATATATAGACCAATATTTGGCATTTTTAATGAACCATTTTCACATACACAGTGATGTTCCACAGTTATTAACATCGTAAATCTGGCAAAGTGTCACATTTTGAGTTTGTCTTTGATCTGTTTTTCTGTTCTGTTCTGCGTTTACACTTGGCATTAACATGCGACCTGTATCCGGATGTTGTCCACAACACCCCATACACATTGAAAAGACAAGTGTAAACGCGCTTCTGATCGGAATGTTATCCGAACAGCGTGTCCAGGTTCGGAGGTAGTCGAGGACGCATTGTGATCGGATCTCAGTGTAATGTAAACGCTATCCAGCCATCGTGTCTGCATTCAGTGTACGTCATATAAATTCCCGCCCAGTCTCCCCACGTGGCTGTCAGAAAAGAATGGCCAGACGCAGATTAGACAAGAAATTAAACTTATTTGAACCTTACAATAAACGTCAATCTTTAAAACAGTTTATTTAGACTTGCATGATACTATGTGTGTCATTTTTCATTTTAATTGTGCAAGATTATCCGAACGAGGCGATCGCCTGCACAGTCAGTCATGAGATCTTAATGAAGAGCTGCACGCTGCTTTGCCAAAGGAATAATCGGATTTTTTAATGTTTTAATGTTGAATGTTTTTATTGTTTCAGCATGTTTATCAATCTCCCATTTCTGTCAATATAGTCATTGCACGCTAAACCCAGATGATGATATGACTTGTTTAACATGATCAACCCAGTTATTTTTGTATCATCAACTCTGGAAGTATTCCTTCGTTCAAAAAAATTTGATCTAAGACTGGAGATTGCACAGGAAAGTAAGTGAGTGAGTGAAAGCAATTGGTAGCCTACATTGTTTAATTTGTATCATCTTTACTCTTAATCTGGTGTCGTGCCACAGACCTAATTTAAATATTATGCAGAAAACAGAAATCCGATCGGTTATCCAGATACAGAAGTTAGATTGTGAACAAATGTTAACGCACCATGTCCTGATTGGCTAATGATCGGATCACGGTGATCGCATGTTAATGCAGAGTTGTGTCATATCGACTCGGTTACTAACGTAACCTCGGTTCCCTGAGAGGAGGGAACGAGTATTGCGTAAGCTTACGCTATGGGGAAAACTCCTTTTCTCGAGAAATATTGAAGTCTTTATGTAAAACGCATTGCAGCTGCACAGCATACAGCAATGAGCGAGGCAGCTCGGTCATTGGCTGTGCTGCGGCAACTTGCACGAACCAATGACGGGGCGACTCTGAACCCGCTTCCAATGAGCGTGCTTCGCGCCCACGCGCGTCAGAGCCCGCCAAGATGGGCGTGGCCAAGGGCTATATATTGGGCGCCCCGTCGTCTGAGTTCTTTAGGTTGCAATACTCGTTCCCTCCTCTCAGGGAACCGAGGTTACGTTAGTAACCGAGTCGTTCCCTTTCGAGAGGTTCCTCTTATTGCGTAAGCTTACGCTATGGGAACGCCATGTAAAACGCCGTGCGTGCTGACTTCGCTCTATTAAGCCGGAGGCCGGTGCCTGAGCCTTTGAGCAAAGTAATTATCCAACGAGCCAGCCGAAGGCGGGCTTTATAAAAGGACAACGTGGAACGGCCCGATGGGCGTCCAGAGACACACACAAGCACATTTTTATGTACTGTCATGTATGAAAAATCCTCCACATCAGTTTCAAAGATGTGATTCTATGAGGGAGGAGACAATGCTCAGCATGTACACACCCTAGCCTATGCATAGTTAGACCGACAGTATGTTAGAGTGCAATGAGGGGACTTGTAGGTTATAAAACCTGATAAATGTGGACGGTGAGGCCCAGCCTGCAGCCGCACAAATATCTTGAATGGGTATCCCACTCGACCACGCCCACGAGGAGGCCATGCCTCTCGTAGAGTGAGCTCTGATGCCCAAGGGGCACTGAAGGCCCTTGGCTTCATAAGCCAGCGCTATAGCATCAACTATCCAGCGCGATATTCTTTACTTTGACACAGCCAGACCTTTAGTGCGGCCGCCAAAGCATACGAACAACTGCTCTGTCTGTCTGAACAGGGCAGAACGTTCCAAATATACTCTGAGTGCCCTGACCGGGCAGAGTAAATTAGCGTCACTTTCGTCTGCTGGGGACGATAGCGCGGCCAAAGATATCACCTGTGCTCTGAAAGGAGTAGAGAGCACCTTAGGAATATACCCGTGTTTTGGCCTGAGGACAACCCTGCTGTCGTTAGGTCCAAACTCCAGGCAGGTAGCGCTTGATGACAGCGCGTGCAGGTCGCCCACTCTCTTGACCGAGGCGAGAGCCAGCAAGAGAGCAGTTTTGAGCGAGAGCTGTTGGAGGTGCACAGTTCGGAGGGGTTCGAACGGGGCACGCTTAAGTGCGTCCAGGACCGTGGCCAGGTCCCAAATCGGCACCGAGGGGGGGCGTGGGGGATTTATCCTCCTGGCGCCCCTCAGGAAACGAACAACTAGGTAGTTTTTCCCTAGTGTGCGTCCTTCGACCGGTTCATGTGATGCCGCTATGGCAGCCACATATACAGTACTTTGAGCGTGGAGGGGGTGCGGCCTGCCTCCAACAGCTCTTGTAAGAAAACGAGCACACTCGGTACTTCGCATGTCTCAGGATTCAGGTTCCTGGATTTACACCAGTCACTGAACACCTTCCATTTCTGGGCATATAAGCGCCTCGTAGAGGGCGCTCGCGCCTCAGTGATGGTTCTCAACACTCCACTGGGGAGGTTCCCGGGAATCCGTTGAGGGGCCACGCATGGAGGGCCCACAGATCGGGGCGGGGATGGAGGATCATCCCGTTGGCCTGCCTGAGGAGATCTAGCCTCAGTGGAATCGGCCATGGGGCAGATTGCATCATCTGCATCAGTTCTGGAAACCACGTCTGGTTCTTCCAGAGTGGGGCTACCAGGAGTACTGCACATTTCTCCTCCCTGATCCGACTGATGACCTGAGGTAGCATCGCGACCGGAGGGAAGGCATACAGCGGGCGGCTCGGCCAGACTTGGGCGAGCGCGTCTGTGCTCTTTGAAAAGAAGAGAGGGCAGTGCGCATTTTCCTTGGAGGCAAAGAGGTCGACCTCTGCTCTGCCAAAGGTTTGCCACAACCACTGAATCGTCAGGGGGTGGAGAGACCATTCTCCTGGGAGAACTTTGTCTCTGGACAGCATGTCCGCTCCCTGGTTCAGAACACCTGGCACATGCGCTGCTCTCAGCGAGCGCAGGTTGCGCTGGGACCATAGGAGGAGCTCCCTGGCCATCGAGTGCAGGGAGCTCGATCTGAGTCCACCCTGACGGTTTATATGCGAGACTACCGTCATGTTGTCCGTTCGGACTAGGACGTGCTCGTCCTTCAGGTACGGGAGCAGGGCTCTGAGAGCCAAAGCGACCGCTTTCAATTCCAGACAGTTTATATGTAGGCGCTTCTCCGGGTTTGACCACAAACCGGAGACAGGCCTGCCCTTGTAAAGGGCCCCCCAACCTATTTTGGAGGCATCTGTCGTGATCATTTTTCTCCTTGTGTTCACGCCCAAACTCACGCCGGACTGATACCAGTCGACAGCTTTCCAGGGTGTCAGGGCTTTTATGCAGCCGTGATTTGCTCTGATTAAAAAGTGGCCCCAGCGCCACGCGTGAGTGGGGACACGGCTTTTGAGCCAGTGTTGGAGAGGACGCATGTGCAACAATCCTAGCTGGAGTACAGCTGATGCTGAGGCTATGAGACCGAGCATCCTCTGAAATCGCTTGACGGGGGCGCGCGCACCCGCTCTGAACGATGTTGCAAGGCGCCGGATAGTGAGCGCGCGCTCTGATGAGAGGCGCGCAGTCATCTGCACTGAGTCTAGCACTATTCCCAGAAAAGAAATATTCTGGCTGGGGGAAAGCATGCTCTTTGCAAAATTGATTTTTAGACCTAGGCACTCTAGAGTGACTGATAATCCAAGACCTGTGTGTCACTAACTGGCTCTCTGATTGTGCTAGGATTAGCCAATCGTCGAGATAATTTAGTATTCGCACTCCCCGCTGTCTCAGGGGGGAAAGTGCTGCATCCATACATTTCGTAAATGTACAGGGTGCCAGTGACAGGCCGAATGGTAGTACTGTGTACTGGTATGACTGTCCCTCGAAAGCGAATCTCAGAAATGGCCTGTGACGAGGCGCTATTGGAATGTGAAAGTAAGCGTCTTTCAGATCCACTGACAGAAACCAATCCCCCGGGCGAACTTGCGCGAGGATATGCTTGGTTGTTAACATTCTGAACGAGCGAATCATTAAAGCTTTGTTCAGATGTCTGAGATCTAGAATGGGGCGGAGACCGCCATCCTTTTTCGGGACGAGAAAATAGCGGCTGTAAAAACCTGCCTCGCTCATAGAGGGGGGGACTGTTTCTATAGCGCCTTTCTCTATCAGTTTGAGCATCTCGGTGCGTAGAACATGTGAAACATCTTTTCTCACTTTCGTCTCTACCACTGCTGTGAAGCGGGGCGGTCTGCGAGCGAATTGAAGCGAGTAACCGTGTTTTATTATGTTCAAAACCCATTTCGGCATGTCGGGGATATTTTCCCAAGCTTTCGCTCGCACAGATATGGGCTGAATGCTGGCCGGGGGCGTGTCGCAGTGACGTATGGCTCCCGCCAGCAAATCGTTCTGTGTTAATACCGAGCTTACAGCTCTCAGCGGCGCGGGTGCGCGCTGAGCAGCTCTGTTGAATGCCGAGTGCAGGGGTGCGTGTGAGATTACAGGCACGCTCGCTGTAATGCTCACAGAGTGAGATGGGGAAATGTTTAACACTGTGTGCATAGTGCTTATGGGTGGGGGTGCATAGACTGTGGTAGGCACGCGCGCCACTTTCATAAAACTTCCCGCTCGTGGCGGGAGGTTTTTGGCCATATAAACAGTGTTTGTGAGTTGGGGTGCGTGCATAACAGCGGGCACACGCGCTTCTCTTATACAACTTCCCGCTTTTACTGGGGAAGTGTTTATAACTGTGGGAACAGTGCTTGTGTGTAGTGGTGCATACGTGACAGTTGGCACACAATCTACATTTATGGGGCGTCCAGCCTGAGCTGGGAAAACATTTGGCACTGCGTTGACAGTTTTGATATGTGGGAATGCGCACTTGTGGTGTGGACACGTGACCCTTTAATGACACAGGCAGAAAATAGCTCTTTATGTGATTTCTGTGTGTCGCCGTAAAAACGGCGTTTGTTTGCAGGTGGGCGAGCTGTGTGGCTGGCACATTGGCTGCTGTATGGACATTTCCAGCCGCCTGTAAGGGGACTGGGTAATGCTTTAAACGTTTTGGAGAGAACGGTCCGGCTCTTGCGAGACACGCGCTCTCCCTTTTCCTCCCTGTAGCTAGGAGGACTTACGAGGCTCTGGGTTCAGCACAATCTTGGGCCGAGGTCCCCGTCGCTCGGGCGGTTGTTTCCTGTTGGCAGAGCGCGAGCGGCGGCGAAAATCCGTTTCAGGTTTGGGCTGAGAGACGGGGGGCGCCGTCTTAGCTCGCTGCTGCTGAGGCGGCCGTTGGCGGCTCTGCGATGAGCTAGATCGCTTGGGCAGGAAGTGACGCATAGCCTGTGAGTCCTTACGGGCTTCGGTGAAGCGCTCGGCGAACTCCTTCACCGCTGGTCCAAACAGGCCGCTTTGGGAGATAGGCGCGTCGAGAAATGACCCCTTATCTGCATCCTTCATCTCTGTTAGCGTCAGCCACAGATGGCGCTCAAGGACAGTCAGGTTAGCCATAGCACGGCCGATGGATTGGGCGGTGGCTTTTGTAGCTCGCAGCGCTATGTCAGTGGCGCTGCGTAGGTCCTTAAATGCCTCAGGATCGGGTCCAGACTCGTCCATACTGCGGAGAAGTTTGGCTTGAAACACCTGGAGGACAGCCATAGAGTGAAGCGCTGATGCAGCTTGGCCGGCGGCGGCGTATGCGCGACCGGCGAGAGCTGAAGTGGACCGGCAAGGCTTCGAGGGATGAGAAGCTTTAGCTTTCCATCCAGCGTTGGAGGGTGGACACAGATGATTGGCCACAGCCTCCTCGAGGGGTGGAGTCCCTTCATAGCCTCTTTCTTTCGCGCCGTCCACAGAGGAGAGCGACAAAGAAAAAGAAGGCTTCAGGCGAGCGGAGTGCGGGGCTTTCCACGACTTCGTCGTGAACTTCCGGGAAGAAGGGGGAGGGTCTTTGTCGAGGGGCCTGTCGGCGCCCCTGCAGGAACCACTCGTCCAGTCGGCTGCGGGCGGGTTCTTCCGGGGAAGACCAATCGAGCCCGAGGTCTTCCACGGCCTTAGAGAGAATGCGGACGATCTCCGAGTCCATGCTGGAGCCCGCGCTCGTGCCCGCTAATGTCGATGGCGCGGGGTCGAAGGACGAGCCCGGCCAGTCGTCGGATGCAGCATCACAGGAAAAACTGTCATCCTTATCATCGTCATCCCCTGACGCGCCAAACGAGACGAGCCCCATCGCTCCGCTGGAGGGGTGCTGGTCCGCCTGTGTGAACTGGACTGGCGGCGGGGAGTCTTCGGGTGGCGGTGAAGCACGCGGGGATTGGCCCGGCGTGACATCACTGCAAACCGCGTGCTCCGGCGGCCTCTGTGAGCGGCGTTTTTTCTTTCGCGGCTCGACTAGAGGAGATGGCAGCACGGAAGAGGTGGGCTCTTTCGCGTTGAAAACGGCGAAGCGAGCGCGCAGCTCGGTGAGGCCCAGGGCGTCACACTCAGGACATCCGCCTCGAGTAAGGGCAGCCTCTGCGTGGTCCGGTCCCAGGCAGCGGGCGCAAATGATGTGACGATCCCCGTCCTGAAGAGGGCCTCGACACGAGGCGCAGGAAGGCATTTGAAACAACGCCTTGTTAAATTTGCTCTTTTAGAAAGTGTCGCGGGGGGCGAACACTGATAGCTTTTGAAAGGATATTAGAAGATGATGCGCGCCGGATGGCTTAGCAGAAGGGCGATCGAAGGCGGCTGAAGGCGCCGGCGTCCTCGAAGCAGTCTTGCTGTAGGCTTGTCGACGGCGGCGGCGAAAAGACTCCAACAAATCCGGAGGATCCAGCGAAGAGAAGGTTCTTTGCTGAAGGAGATTAAATCTAAAGAACTCAGACGACGGGGCGCCCAATATATAGCCCTTGGCCACGCCCATCTTGGCGGGCTCTGACGCGCGTGGGCGCGAAGCACGCTCATTGGAAGCGGGTTCAGAGTCGCCCCGTCATTGGTTCGTGCAAGTTTGCCGCAGCACAGCCAATGACCGAGCTGCCTCGCTCATTGCTGTATGCTGTGCAGCTGCAATGCGTTTTACATAAAGACTTCAATATTTCTCGAGAAAAGGAGTTTTCCCCATAGCGTAAGCTTACGCAATAAGAGGAACCTCTCGAAAGGGAACTGTTCCCTGCCTGTTTGTCACCATGGTTTCTGAATGATTTGAGTATTATTTTCAGGTGTGTCTTGTTAATTAGCTTCTTTGTTTTCAGTGTATATAAGCTCTCAGTTTCAGTTAGCTCCTTGTCCGGTTTAAGCTGTTTAGTTTTCCTGTATTTCAGTTGGTAAATTTAAATAAAGGTTTTCTTTGGATTTCACCCTTTGGATTTACACTACAGTGTGACACAAAGATTTTTAGAATTTCTTTTTTTCTTTTTTTTTAAATGTAATGTAATCTATAACGTTATACTTTGTCATTTTATGCCAAGGTAATAAAACACAGAACTAGTTAACACTGCTTTTTCTTTGCAACATCTTATTCATTATCTTTAAAATTATATAGTGTGATATATATATTTTATATTTATATCATAGATTCAAGTACAGTGAAAACATATATCACTATTTTTAACAAGACAGACTGCTGTTACAACACTAAGCTTACAACTGCAGCTGCAAACCAAAACGAATCCAGAACAGAATTCCTCTAGAAATATCTCTAGAAGGCATCTTTCCAAGATAAATGTTCCCTGTATCACAGCAAAAACAGTTCTCATTCCATCTCTGCTTTCCAACTGTTTTAGGGCTGTTTTTCAGTGCTGTCATTTAGGAGACTGACTGTTAACTCTTTACCCGCCAGCGCTTTTGAAAAAAGCTGCCAGCTTTTCTTTAATCATTTTCACAAAAGCTTCATGGCCCGCAGAATATCTTGTTGTATAAATATCTGAACATGCAATATATCAGAAAGAACAGGCCCTCTGCTCTTATCCAACAAAAACAAACAAAAAAACGTTTTATTCTAGGTTCATGCATTCCTTTTTTATCAACACTTGAATGTGGGAGTTAAAAAAAAAGCAACTTTGAGCAAAAAGCTGAGAAAAACACGTTTTGTCAAAGACTGTCTGGATGGAATTCAGAACGATGATCAAAACACAGAGATCGAGTCCATCAAAGCTTCACAGAGTCCTATAGCTCGTCCTGGGTTGACATTTCATTCAGCAACGTTAGGCAGTTTTGATTTATATGATCGTGTTATTTTACAAATGCATCAGTTTACATATGATATCCCTTGTTTCTGCTTCTTCTTCGCCTGTGTTTTGAACAGGAGATTCAGTCATTTTTTAGAAGATGGGTAATAGCAATTTAAAATATCGTAAAATTAACATAAACCATTACTAGTGTCACTCTTTACGTCTGTCTGTGGTTTTTGCAAATATTTAACCAATGAGAAGTATTAAAAAGAGCTTGTGACCAAATCTCATAACTCCATTGGCTCCTCAAACTGTCCGTCAAACCTCATAACTCCGCCCCATCTCTATCGTGAATGAAGTGCCACAAGCTGTTTGGAGCATCTCTGCTTATTTACGATGCAAGGCCAGGGTAAATAAAGAACTGTTCCTTTGAATAAGTTCAGCATTTTCTTTACTTAAGAAACACTTTACTTTATATATAAAAGTATTTGAGGAGTGGTGAAGAGCGTCTTGCATTTGTCGTCGAGTCACAGCAAAGATAACCTTTGCTTAGCGCTTCATTATAATGTGAGATTTTGGCCAAATGACAAAAAAACGAGCGCCCACATAGCTTCAATAATCTTCATAACCTTTAAGAAGCATCGTCTTACAATTGACAGAAATTTCCGTGAACGGCGGGGAAAGAGTTAACTAAAGCTAACCCACACTCATTTCCAATGAACTAGAGTATCGAGTTCATTGTTTCTCCAGAAGAAGTCTCTGTGTTTAATCACAGTGGAGGAGATTATTGATGTGAGTTGGACTGTTTAAATAAGGGCTGTGCAAAGGTTATTGTGCTCAGCATAAACTGAGTAATGTTTGGCCACTCCTGCATAATGTAGAAAACATCTGGTCTCTTTCACCCACTTTCAAGATGCTTGAACAATAAATTAGTGCTGTTTTCCCCACAAAAGGTGTTTGGGGCTGGACTATTGCGCATATCCCCTACCTGAGAGTTTCTTTGATGACAGCCTTCATGTAGGGCATCCTGGTCAGGTGTTCGGCGTTCGGCTGCTCTTTATTAGGACAAACAGATGCGATCTCGTTATAGAGGCGGTTCTGTGCCTCTGCATCACGTGCAAGGTGGTACAAGGTCCATGATAGTGTGTTAGACGTCTGTCAAGGACAAAGAAAAAAAGAAAGATTGACTATCTTATCAAATAATGCATTCATCGATCTCAGCTGATGTTATGATAGAGACACCTGATTGGCTAAGTTAATTATGTCCAGAGGGTGAGGGGGCGGGGCTAGAGTGCTCTGTTTAAGGGGAGCTTTCTTTTAAAAAACGAAAAACTTTATGCATTTTCGTCGTTCATTTACACGACAACGGCGTTTTTGGGGCCTGAAAACGCAAACTTTTGAAAGATTGTGCAAGTTTTTGAAAATGATACCGTTATCGTCTACGTGTAAACTACAAAAACGCAAATTTGTGAAAACGGTGACATCGTGCAAATGTGTCTCACGAGTTCCGTCTTTAGGCACGTAGTGTTTCTTTACAAAGTGACATCGCCAACTACTGGCCTGGCATGAATAATACAGCATTTTAATCCTTTTTGAACGGGGATCATTTTAACAACAAGGTCGTCTGTACGTGAAAAACGCAAAGGAAAAACTTTTTAGTACATCGCTGTCGTGTAAATAAACCCTAAATCCTCAGCTATGTGTCGATAAAACAGGTCAAGACATCAGCAAAGAATGCTAATTAACAGGTTATCAACCCTGTCTGTCGTTAAAAGTGGGACACAATTTAGCAGATAGCTCTGGAAATCCGATAAACGGTAGCCTTGACAGACCTTGACAGACATTTACACAGAGATTAGGAACATAGTACAGCATGTTAAAGGTCATTATTGTATCAGTTAGGGATGGGCAGGATAGTCAACACGTTCTTGTTGTAAGTTCATAGTTAATGGGATTAATGTGTAGACCTGGGGTTACTCAGCAAGGACACCTGTGTGAACTCACCTTGACCCCAACTGATTAAAACTACAAAGATGGATCACAAAAATGCGTGAACACCACTAATCTGGAGGACCCTAATCATTCAGGGCTTACTTAAGAATGACTAGAACTCAGACAAACCACCTTATTGTACACTTTTAGTGTACTTCAAATCTTAACAGTATATTTTTAAGAACTGTACTTACAGACAATATAGTTTTAATTAAATACAAGGCCACTTAAGGGTCTTGAAGAGGTTTCACTTTCATGACTATGTTTCTCAACATGCTTAAGTACAGGTTTAAAAAGTGCACTTTGTAATAATGTCAATTATAAGCTTTGCTTTAAAGTACATTTTAAATCATTATGTTTTGACAGTCTTTTGTCAGACTTTAAAAAAAAAGTACACTTGTTTTGATTTGTTGACTAACATACTAAAACATGTTAAGTACATTATTATCATTTTAACTGTATGCTTCATTTGATTTTACATCAGTTAACATTTTAAATGTACTAAATTATTATGCGTTACTACATGTACTCACTATGGAAATAACAGTAAATTATACTAACCTTAAACCAAACACTAACCGTAACTGTATACTAGTTAGTTAATTGAAATTACTCAGTACTTATTTGAGTAAGTACAATGTAACTACATCACCTTAAAATAAAGTGTAACCAAATATATTTAAGTTTACCATAAATGCTTGTCGGTGCATTCAGCACTTTAACCATTTCAAAGACAACAGAAATAATTGTGAAAAAAATGACATAAAGATGTACTTATGTCCTACTTAATGGAGTAAAAAAAAAACACTGTAAAGTTCAGCTATTGCATACAATTTTAAACTATAATACATTTTAATTTAATTTAATGAAAATTATTTCTGTAATAAGCACTCTTAAAAAGTATGCTAAAGTGTACTTTTTCACAAGGGAAGTATCACCTAGGGATGCACCAATATTAAAATTCTGGTATGGTTAATAAATAGTTTCATATAAGTTTGTCTCGTTTCTTATTTTCACAGGAACTTAATATCTCTCTTGTTTTCGACAGGTAGATAGAAAACACTCCCTTATCACAACAACTGAACCAGAGGTGCAGGACATTGTTTCTGAAACATAATTAACTTCTGAATAATAAATCCTCTTCTGAAAAAACCTTTTGACTATTAGCAGATCATATTGTTTAATCTACTTCCTGTCTGACTGGTTCCAAATAAACATATTCTTACTGTGTCGACGCCTCCCAGCAGAAGTTCAGTGAGGCTGATGTACACCTCTCCTAAGCTGAGTTTATCGCTGGACAACAGGTAGGTGAGATACATGCCCTCCACTTCCTCTCCACGCTCAACCTGATCATGTATCTGCTTCACCTTTTTATCAATCAGATGTCGGGCTGGACAAAAGTACAACAGACACAGACAGAAAGGGCAATCAGTTACGCTGTTGTTTCAAAATATTATTTATGTCCAGCAACTCCACCATATCAGATATATGTCAGACAGAGACTACAGGTGCACCGACATGTGTAATAATAATTATATATATATATATATATCACATGATTAATCCATTCTAAAATAAGTTTGTATTTATATAATATGTATGTGTATATATATCTATACACACATACATACAGTTGTAATTAAAATGATTCAACCCCCATTGCAAATCAGCTTTATTGCCAAAAATGTACAGACTTTCAGCTGTTTGCAATGAACAAAATCAAACAAAAGTTATTGAAATAGCTCAACACAACAAATGTTTCAAGTGGTTTCCACAAATTCAACTGAAAATGCATTTTTTAATGACTTCTGCAGTCTCAAAATGTCCATCCCCATGATGGCAAGCATCTACTTAGTAGAACACACTTTTGCTGTAATGACCTGCTGCAAACAAGATGTATACACCAGCTTCTGGCAGCGTTTCCGAGGAATTCCTCATGAACAATGGCCTCCAGTTCAGTAATACTCTTGGGTTTGCGTGCTGCAACCACCTTCTTCAAATTCCACCAGAGATTTTCTTTGGGGTTCAAGTCAGGTGACTGATGGCCACTGTAGAACCTTCCAGAACTTCTTCAGCAAACAAGCCTTGGTGGAATTTGAGGTATTCTTGAGATCATTGTCCTGTTGGAAGGTCCAATGATGCCCAGAGCATCACCGAGCCCCACCGTGCTCAACTGTAGGCAGTGTGCGCTTTTCAGCATATGCTTCATTCTTCTTCCTCCAGAGATACCGCTGATCCATAGGGCCGAAAAGCTCCAGTTTTGTTTCATCGCTCCACAGAACAAAATTCCAAAACTTCTGCGTCTTATTTATATGATTTTGTGCAAATTGGAACCAACTTTTCTTGTGCTTTTGGGGTCAGTAGTGGTGTACGTATCGGATTTCTGGTATGCGTTAAGTCTGTTCCTTACTGTGGAGCTGAAACCTCAGTGCCTGTTGCCACCAAGTCTTTCTGCAGAACTTTTGCAGTCACTCGAGGATTTTTCTTAACCCGTCTTCTCAGAAATCTGGTTTTAGCCGTTGATAGCTTCATTTTTCCACCCCGTCCAGGTAGTGTAACCACTCTTCCTTTAACTTTGAACTTGCAAACTATTTCCAACTGTGTCTCTAGGGACATTTAGTGACTTTGCTAATTTTTTTTAGTCCTGTTCCTTGTTTATGAAGGGCGATGATATCTTCTCTTAACTTTTTGGACCATTGTGTACCATGTGTTCTAGCTCAAGCACACCTGGTGCAACTAATGAAGACCTTGATTAGTTGCAGCAATAGTGCTTGCTTGAGACAATACCTGTTCTGCAGATTTGTGCTGTTGTGAAAGATTCTATTCAGGGGGTTGAATCATTTTGAGACTGCAGAAGTCATTAAAAGTTGAATTTTCGGTTGAATTTGTGGAAACCACTTGAAAATGTGTTGTGTTGAGCTCTTTCAATTACTTTGGTTTGATTTGTTCATTGCAAACAGCTGAAAGTCTGTAAATTTTGCCAATAAACCTGATTTGCAATGGGGGTTTAATCATTTTGATTACAACTGTAATATATATATAAATATACACACACATATATTACATAAACACAAATTTTGATGTAAAATAAAACAAAAAAATTTAACAAAGATAAATTATCAGAACTTTTGCAAGTATATATAAGAACTTTTTCCAAGTTTTTTCAGTAGCATTACAAAGTTTGTGATTTTTTGCAAAAGTTCTGATGTGATTTATCAACTTTTACATAAAAATACAGCAGTTTGAACAGGTGTGTGTAGACTTTTCATATCCACTGTATATTGTGCATCCCAAATGCAGACATTGAACTTTAGCATACCTACGTCATACAAGTCATCCCAAGCCTGGACAAACCGTTTCCAGAACGGGAAGATGTGACGGGTCCAGCGAGGGAAAAAAAGAACCGTCTCCGAGAGTGCCAACATGTCATTAACGGCAGATATAAACCGCAGAGTTTCTGTGGGAATTTCCTCCTGTAAACAGCCCAGCCTTGTTTCGAACAGGATAGAGGAGATTCCTGAATAGTGAAAAAGACAATCACTATGCTGCTGTTTGCTCACATGTCACTGTAAACAGCTCCAGGATATTGTAAGCCATCTACATCCATACAAACCCTCAAAGCCAAATTTGTAGAGCTCAGAGGCGAGGTCAGTGACGGTGGCCTGGTCTTGACTGCGCAGACGCAGGAGTTCCACGCGCTGTAGGAGATCAGACACAACCTCGTGAATGATGGGTGCGTATGCCGTTACTTCCTTCAGTTTAAGCATCTTAGGGTTCAGGGCACTACGAATACGATACCACTCAGGGCCTGTGCTGAAACACACACAAAAAATGTTTTAAAAAGCCCTTTACTCACCCCAAACTTTTGAACGGTAGTGTAGTTCACCCCAAAAATTTAACTTTTGCTGTCAAACTCCAAAATGACAAAAATCTTCTTAAGTCAAAAGAGAGCTTTGTGCAAGGAACAAACCAACATTTATTTTGTTATTATTGAGATCCACAGTTTATGAGAGTCATGACAGAAATAATATTTTCAATGAATCATCTGATGCTGTTCACAACACTACTGAATGATGTGTTCATGACTAGAACTGATTCAGGTCTCATCAGTGAATAATATTTTTTTGTACTTTTTGGCACACAGAGGTATTGTATCGCTAATGGACCACTTTTATCACACTTTCATGGTGTTTTTGGATATATTTTTAAGCTCCATTCTCCTTTTGTGTTCCATGAAGGAAAGTATAGAGAAAGACAATGGGTGAAGGGGAGAAGAGCTTACTCTACATGAATTCCATATGCTTGTCCTCTCATGTCTCTGTATTCTTTCCAGTGAGGCAGATCAGTACGCACTGGGTGTCGTCCCTCCTGTCGGATCACCTGTGCAAGCAGTTCTGCCGTCGCCACATTTACCACATCAAACGGCCCAAAGCGTGAGCGCCAGATTGGACCATACAGGCGCTTGTGCTCCACCTGCATAATAGATGTGGGGGGGGATCATTGTGTGTGTATATCAGCAATTGTTTATCATACACATTTAGCTATAAATAATAGAGGGACAATCCCCCTGAAGTAATCTAAGGTTAAATACTGTATGAGGTGTGTCATTCTGTAAAATGTTAAAATAGCCATTTTCATTTAATGCAGTGGTTCCCAACTCAGCAAATGCCCAAGGGGGCTTCAAGATGACTTAAAATGACTTTTAATGCTTGTTTTAAGACTAAATAATAATATTCTTTGGGGAACCAAAAAGGTTTCTTTTATGGCATCGCTGTGAAAACATCCATTTGGAATCTTTATTTTTAAGAGTGTTTGTATGCGTGTCAATCATTGTTTAGATGTAAATAAAAGTGATAAATTAGATCATCTTCATTTAAATCGATTATATCTCTTCACGGGACTTGGACAAAACCACTCAAATAATGTGGATTCAATTTAAGACGCCTTTATGGCCTTTTGGATCTTTCACAAAGTTTTTATTACCCGTACTTTCAATGTAATAAACAGAAACTGCTCATGTTTGAATATTAAACAGGCTTATGGCTTTAGAATGGCACGAGGGTTATTACTGTAATAGCTAACATTATTTTGCAACATTGTATTGTTACCACAATAATGTCTTTTCTGTCCTTTTTTTCTTTTATATGCGTCACTAATATGGATGTAATTTCTGCTCCTCCTATTTTTTTTTCATCCAATATCCAGTTGTTGATCGTCTTTACTAAGATTTCAAGTACCATCCAAATGTAAGGGAATGTTGAAATTACAAACAGGTATATTTGCCCTGAACTCACACCATTAATTAAACCACAAGTTGACACATTGAGCGCCACACAGATAGCAATGTTTTGACAGAACAGTTTTCTGATTGGCCAAATCCCGTGGGTCGCACTCATATTCTTTTTGCTGGCTGACACACAGAGATAAGTGACATTTCACAGAAACTCTGTTACAGGGATTTGTATCTGGAAGTGGGAACATTCTATCCGTGCAATGGCATTCAAAAAACAACCGTTAAAGAAACTTTGAGTGCTCTGTAGTTTGACACCATGGTAATCCAGAGCTTAAGTCAACCTTTGGAATACAAGCCTGAATACAACATCTGACCTATAAAAATGTATCTTTATGGCAAGCTGTTTTAACCTTTTTTCCTTAAAACTAACTATTAATTTTATGTTACTACTACCTTTTAAATTCCTAGCAAGCAATTCAGACTATACTGGTACTTATTTCTTTGTTACAAGACACAAATTAAATATTAGGCACTACTGAATTAAAGTACTTTTATTTGTGCCTTTATACCTACCAGTAACTATTCAAATAGTTTAGACTTTTTTTTAGAAACAAAAATTTAAAAGATAAAAAAAATGAAGAATTAGAGAGAATCAATGAATTCTGGCATTTGGTGAATAAGAAGTAATTGTGTAATTAATAAAAAAGTCACTGTAGTCTGATTATGAGTAGCCTATTTTAAAATGTAATATAATCTTATTACAAGCACTTATTTTTGGAATTTGATTATGTAATCCTGATTACATAATCAGTTACTACCCAGCAATGGTAATAGGTGATATCTAAAGCACAGAAGCCCATGAAATTATTAAATACAAGGACTGTCTAAATAATTACTAGTATCTCGTGAAACTGGAAAAGTAACTAATCACTTTTAGATTACTTACTAGTGGCAAAATATAAAGAGCCTGCTAGTAACACATTTAGATGGGTCTATTAGTTTGTTTTAAGAAATACATGTTAAAATGGCTTTTTCATAATATCTTTTTGTTCCACGGATATCAGCTGTCAGTATCAGACAGGATTTCCAGAGTCTCCAAAATCAAAAGCCATTCTACAGAATTGGTTCAAAGTCAGAGTTGGAAACGTCTTGAATCTTTTTTCACAAATTTTGTATGTATGCAAATTGTATAATTTCCAAGGTAATAGTAATTGTGCAGTTAATTATCATATTGTATTTTCAGAAAGTTTTGGAATATTTTTCCTCTCCCCAAATTTGTCACTACCGAAACACAATAATAAATAATTTAATAAGGAGACTTATACTGACCTATTATTCACATTTTCGCTAGTGACAGTAATGTTTTGGTAGCGACCACATCTCATTACATAATTTGAACTCGCATACTAAAACATACTAAGATACTAATGATTTACATAACTGTACTCAAATTTAGTTTATTTCCCTCAAATAAATGATTATGTGTTCCCTTTTGTCACTACCAAAACAATGATGACATGTTTCGATTATGACTGTTTCATTAGTGACAATTTTAGGATTGCCATTTGTTAAAGACTTGATAAAAATGTAACGTTAATCCTTGAATCATTAGTTACATGCACAAATGGTTATCAATGTCTCAAAATTTTGCTTTAATAGGCTAGTTTAATATAGCCTATATTCATAACTGAATGAACATTTGATCTATAAATAACTGTTTACATCTTAAAAACACCCCCCAAAGAAACATCTGTTTACATTTAGCAGCTGTTTACTTGCAAATTCAAAACAAATGCATAGCCTACAAATGTTGCCCAAAAAAGGGTGTTTTACCTGCATTGCATGACTTTTATCAGCGTATCCTTTAACGAAGAGCCAGTATGCGGTTGTGGCCAGACTGGGTCCCGGAAGATCATCGATGGTTTTGTATTTTCCCGTCACAGCTGTTGCGCTCTGCAAGTCTACATCCCCTGTTTGAGACTTAAGGGTTCGTGCGATCAATTCCTGAAATGGCGCATATTTTCTACCAACAGGAGTTGCGATACGTTCAGCTTTCACTAGCGCGGAAGACAACATGTTTGGCGTGTGTCGCTAAAGCGATCTCTGAATCTGGTCGAACGCATACCAGCACATAGTTCATGTCAAAATATTGGGCGGGATTTGTTTTCAGCTATGGCTCTAAACCTAGTGAGCCGTATGTATACCTCATCATCTTGAGACAACGGGCCATTTGGACATCATAGGCGGGCCATCGAGGTATAGTCCAGTCATTTTAAGCCAAAATGGGGGTCAACCTAGAACAAATTGCAACAGAATCAAACTCTTTGTATCCTCAATATGTCCCGAGGGGGTAAAAAAAAAAAGCCCCGAAGAATTCAATTAGGGGAAAGTTTCGAAAAAGACCCAAATATAGCCAATTCCAACGCCTATTATTTCCTTTTCTCACGTGAATAGGCAGGGTTAAGTTTTTAACCTTTAGATATCACCATGAAAATTACTGAGTTTAGTACTAACATCAAGACAAACAGAAAATGTAATAGGCCTACAAGTTTTTTTTTAATTGTTTGTTAACATGGGCAAACGTGCATAATCCAATTACGTATACGTGCTAATTTGCATAAATGCCACGACAGATCTAAACATTGGGTATAGCGGGTGAAAATGTCTTGTTGAAACTTGTTGACATAACAGTAAAAGACTTAATGTTAAGGTCTGAATGGAACCCATGTAGGCTAACCATGAGCATTAATACATAAAGGCAGGAAGAAGTAATTTAAACCAGCCTTTATTAATTATTATTGCAGAGATGGGGTTTGGGCCTGGGTCCGTGGGACTGTTTCTGGGGGATGAGTCTGAGGGAAGAACAGGAGACAAGGGTAAGGAGAATGCAGAAGACAAAGGTAGGTAAAATAAAAAGTGGCTGGATCAAACAATCAAATTACGTGAACAATGCACCAGAGAGAATCTCTTCTTCATTCGCTAATCCTAAACTTGACATCGTTTCACCAATAATAGTCGTAACACAGCTCAACACACATCCAGATGTCCCCAATAAATTGTAGTTGGTCACCAGGTATGTTTTCTTAATGTATAATGTAGGTTGAATAATCCATGTAGGAGAAACAAAAGGAAATCTTTCTTACCTGAGTGACAGCTTAGTGACAGTTGAGTGGACCTTGAATGAATGACTGAATCTCTGCCCCTTTGGTGACATTTGTTTGCCTCTAGTCTTTTACTGTAAGATGTCAACTAGATCACAAACAGAGTTTACAATGAAAAACCTGGAGGCGTAACTGTTTGAAGGTATATTATACTTTTGAGTGCTAGTGTTTTAGCCGTTTAACTAGTTAGTTTTAAAAAAAATTAACACTTTTATTTAATCAATGACCTATAAATGTGGTCAAAAATGAGAGGAAAGACATTTATAGTGTTACTATATATATATATAGCCTATATTTCAAACAAACTTTCTATTCATCAAAGAATCCTGAAAGAATGCATCAAGGCTTCCACAAAAAAATAGTAGTAGGCTATCTTCAGCAGCTATTCATATTATAATGATTTCTGAAGGATCATGTGACTGTAATCTGACATCTGAGAGTAATGATGCTGGAAATTCAGCTTTGCATCACAGGAAAATAATTACATCTTAAAATATATTAATACAGAAAATAGTTATTTTAAATTGTAATAATATTTGACAATGTTACTGTTTTTACTGCATCTTTGATCAAATAAATGCAGCCTGTGTGAGCATGAGACTTTTCAAAAACATTTAAAATATAGGCTTTCACTTTAACTTTTGAACAGTAGTGTATACACACACACACACACATACTGTATACATGTTAATTACATATATTTTTTAAATGAGATAAGGATGTTAAAATATAATTTATAGATATTGCACTCACAAAGAGCAATTTCTAGCTGTAAAAATATTTCACAGCTGAAACATGCACCAAATTTCCAAGACTTTTTCCGTCCTTTTCCCTGATAATTTTAGGCCTTCATTGAGATCTAAACGTAATTGATAATTGTATTGAGACACAGCGCACTGCATAATCTTAATACCAACATCAATAGAGCACCATGAAATGTGAAATAAATATCTTTTATTATTTATTTTCATCATCATTAGCAACACTTTACAAAGTGCCAGCCGTCATAGACAATCTCATAATGTCATCCTGCAAATAGCCCGATCAGTGCTGCCATCAGCAGACCACAGAGATGCCAATCATGCGTAGAATTTGAGTAAAAAAAAAGAGAGAAAATAAAAATATATATATAAAAAAAATATGCGTACCACTGATATACAGATTTGATATAAACAGGCTTATTGGTCACAAACCAAATTGAATTATAAACATGGCTTTTCTCATACAATAGACAAAGAGAACAAACAACAGATACAAGTTCTGTACCAGATAAGTGTACTGTCTACAAAAACGTACATTTCAGAGTTCTTATCTTCTTTTGTATTTCCTTTTTTTTTTTTAAATAACTTTTCTGTCATCAGTTGTACAAGGCGCAAGGCATTGAGTGTGCTGGCAATAATCTCACTCAATCGGCACACAGAAAAGGAGTCTCTTTGAAACACAGACAAACACATACAGACACACTCAGACAATATAACACCCACACAAACAAATACAAAGTGCATTCATGACCCTGGAGTGGCAGCAGTGGCGTGTTTGAGTTGACGGAGAACTTCCCGTAATCACTTATTATCATAAATTAAACAGAATGCATTCTGCAGCTACGGGACTCTATTGTTAAGTCGAGAGATATAAAAAAAAATTAAAAAAATCCAACATTTTATATACAGGCAAATAGTTATATGATGCCACCTAGTGGTGGAAACAAAATCTGACATTACATTCCAGTAGGAAGATTCCCGATTTGCATTAAACCATCCTCTAACCAGGGTACCAGTCATGTTGGTCTAAATCAGTTTCTTTGGCACTGGTCAGCATTTAGACATTGGGCTCTCATTATTTAAATCTGAATTCATAAAAGAACCAGCCATCGTGTGTGTGTGTGTGTGTGTTCATTTCACAAGGATAAGAGCATAGCGGTGGCAATGAATTTACCACAGACAAGTGCCAAACGTGAGCCTCAGGGAGTGACCAACTTAGCCAACAAAGCTGGTAACCAGGGCAACCGTTTTCTCAGATTCTCTGGAACAGAAAACAAGCATTCAGACTCACACAAGATCGCTCAAAAACAAACGCAAAATGACTGACGAACACTGGCAAAAGTATTAAAATCAGTGTAAAAATCATGGTCTCAAAATGTGCAAACATTTCAGCATCAAAAGAAAATTAACAGTACATACATTACAAACAAACACTGCCTACTTTTCTTGTAGTATGTCTGTACACCATCTGAAATAGTAATGCTTTCGCTGCTTAAATGAAAATAAATGTGGATTTAGTTCTACGAACTGGCACTTTAAACCTATACAGAGCAGAAATTTAGCTCATTATACTGGGTGCGGAGAAATTCCTTCAAATACTGCCACAGCAACCCAAGGTTGGCAACACATGGCATCATAAAAGAAAAACCAAAATAAAGCTGCACGGGGCTTACAAAGTGGGCCTGCCCCTTTTTTAAATGGCTGTAGGCCAAGTTTGGACTCGGATCGAGAACTGCTAATACAGCTGGTCTATTGTGTGAGCGGGTCTTCCATGTTTTTCGTTCCCAGATATCACGATCTGGAACAGCCGCATGAAATCATTCCAAATTAACTCAACACAATGGAGGTAGACTCTCTTAGTCACCAACAGAAAACAAAACTGTAAACGTTTGCTTGGAGTGTAATCATACCATCTGAGTCCCGTTACTATAGCTGTACCTACTGTACCTACTGACAGCAAAGCTAGTTTCTCTGTTATCACAATCTTTTGGCCCTGGCGTTCATACAGGACACGTTCTTGTGTTAAAACAACACAACAGATCCCATTCGACCAGAATGGGTTTTCATTGGTCCATTGTTTTAAAACTAACAATGATCCGTGGACACATGGGTCAATGGCAAATAATAGCCTCCCATGATTCTTAAAAATTTACTTTTTGTTGGTTTCATATGAGTTTAATGACTTTAAACACAGTCTTACCAATAACTCTTCAAGTTAAAAAGATTTTTATTAAATTGTAATACTTTTTTTTATTAAGCTTGTATTAAAGTAAATATCATAACACATTTTACTACCTGAACTAACCTGTCATAAAAATAGGTATTGTCATAAATTATATAATATTTTAAGAGACTTGTTGACCTTGGCACGCAGTCATGATTGTGCAAAGGCCCTCTATATGATATCGGCATGTTGATTTCAGCACGACTTTGATTTAGCCGTTCAGATATTAAAAAGCAGTGAAGCATTTATTTTAATGTGGCTTTTTTTCATCATTATGATATCAGGATAGTTGTATCACCCTGACATATTTGATAGTATTCTCCCAAATATATATATGTATCAAAATAATTTTAATTCAGAAGTTAAAAATATTCTCATCACAGTATGTGCTAATGTAATATATGAGTATGTCATTGAACCAAATGTATAAATTTGACCGATAATTGACAGATTTACACACAAGAGCGTGTCCTGTTCGAACGTGTTCTGTAAGTACGGAGCTTATTTTTATTCTTATACTCAGGTCACTACAAGCAAGCAATATGAAATCACTGCTTGAACTTTAAATGTTCGTTTCCATTATACGACTATTAAATGAACAGACGTGTATGTTAAATTACAAGTACCATACTCTCATATTTATGAGAGGGGAAATCTATAACCTTTGAATTAGGAACGGCAGTTTGTGACGAGGAATAAAGAAAACAAACCCAATGGATTATGGGAGGAGCAAGGGTAACCCCATAAATGCATGTATTCACCTACATGAAGGCAGGCACTACAGCACTACGTGAAGGAGAGATCTTGAACAGCAACGCGACTGCTCACTTAAATGCACTAGCAGAGAGTGTGTAACCAAGTGCTTCACAAGTCCCAAGGCATCGTGGGATAGCGAGGTTAATTTACAGGCAAACCGTTAAGTACTGTCAAGTGCTGAGTATTGTTATGATCTGTGAAATTCTGCACATTCTGAAACCTGCAGAAACACATTAGAGTGAGAA